TGGGGAATCTCAGAGGGAAGTCGTGGTCGGGTGGGAGAGTGGGAAGAGGGCAACCAACAAACTCGTATTCATATGTGCATCATCCAGGGACACAGACAATAGGATGGTGAAGACCTGGGCACCCGGGGCCGGGTTAGAAGGTGTCAATGGGGGATGAAGGAGACATGTGTACTACCTTCAACAATAAAGGTATAATTTAAAGAAAAAGAATTAGGACTTGGACCCTCAGACTCCCACTGAACATGGTTCCTGTGTCACCCATCTTCTCTTAGGTGGAGTCAAGACCTCAGCTATGAAAAACTCTGCCTCATGAATATGCAAAAGAGAGGAGGTAGACCAGGTTAAATATGGGTAAGTCTGTGCCCTGAGGGCATCACCCACAGCCACACCCTCCCCTATAGAAGTGCTCACAGCATAGCCCTCAGCATGGACTGGAGCTGGAGAACCCTCCTCCTGGTGGCCATGGCAACAGGTAAGGGGCTCCTGTCCTGGGTTAAGGAGGGTCCAGGGAGAGTCAAGGGGGATTCCACTCACTCCTGTCTCCTCCCCACAGGTGTCCACTCCCAGGAGCAGCTGGTGCAGTCTGGGGCTGAGGTGAGGAAGCCTGGGGCCTCCGTGAAGGTCTCCTGCAAGGATTCTGGATATACCTTCACCAGCTACTACATGCACTGGGTGCGACAGGCCCCAGGACAGGGGCTTGAGTGGGTGGGGAGGATTTACCCTGGTGATGGAAGCACAAGCTATGCACAGAAGTTCCAAGGCAGAGTCTTCATAACGAGAGACATGTCCACGAGCACAGCCTATATGGAGCTCAGCAGCCTGAGAGCCGAGGACACGGCCGTGTATTACTGTGCAAGAGACACACAGTGAGGGGAAGTCAGTGTGAGCCCAGACACAAACCTCCCTGAGGGAGACAGCAGGGCTGGACTGCAGGGAGCATCCATGACCAGCAGGGGGAAAGCAGAACCAACACAGGGCCCTGACCAGGAGCAGGTGGAGAGTTGAGCAAAGATACCATTCCCTGCTTTGTCTTAAATTAGTTTTGCTCCCAGGATCAGCCACAGAGCTCACAGAAAGCCCTGTTCTAGGTCTAGTTTTAGGGATTGTATTTGTGA